AAATAAGTTTAAATTCACTCAAATAAATTTGTTTGAATAAGCCTGACCAAACGTTTTCCCTCTTTGAATGCCGAACAGGCTACTGATTTTATTTTACAAAACCTTAAAAGAGAAAGCTGTTGTATTGGTATCCGTAAGTGGATGATAACATTTACTAGTTATTTCAACACACAGGACAGACAAAAAGAAAATGCACAATTTAAGTTTTATTATGAAAAGTTTTCCAACTTTTCCCCAAAAGTGTATGCAAAAGTAGAATCATTCAATAAACCCCTATGCACTCATTATCCTGCTTCCAACAATCACTGAACAGATCCCAATTGTGGCTGAAGGTGGGTATGGACCCACCCACTTCTTCCCACTTCAGCCACAGGATTATTTTGAATCCCATATATCTCACGCAAATCCCATATATCTTACCATTTCCTCTGTACAGGCTTCAGTTCGAATCTCCAAAAGAAAATCCATCACGCAGAAAAACAGAATTTTAAACTTATTGACAAGAAATTTCAACTACCTTTGATTCAAAAACAGAACGTTCAGTGTCAAATAGCCAATGGGAATATCGCACAGGAAATTAAGAACAACTCTTGGAAATAGCTCTGTGACTCCTAAGTTAGGAAAGGGAACGTTTGTTTACTCAGCAGCAGAAAGCCAGGAATCCACGACTGGTCAGCGAAGGTCGCCCGCACCCCGCGCTGCGCATCTTTCCCCTACCGGGCGCTCTGAATTCCAACTTTTCCAGCCCCAATCAGGCGACACCCTCCCTTTGATGTTCCACCGCCCGGCAGTCACAGACACAGACAAGGTCTTCAAAGAGGTGCTTTTCACTCCGAAACCATTTATTCAGCAACCAGGGCGAGCGCCGCAATGGACTGAAGGAGAAGTGTTCGGAAGCGACAGATCCAGAGCGCAAGCCCCTTCCCGTCGCCGCCTCAGGTCCCCAAACGCCTGTGTCAGGCCCCTCCGCCGCGTACCGCGACCCTGCCTCGTCCGGGGGGCACTCCCCCTACAGTGTTCCTCCTTCCACAGAGACTCCACAAGCGCCCTCCCTCAGGAAACGTCTCCTCCTCTTTCCTCGCCACTTTCCTTTCTCCTTTTCTCGGCTGTCACAGGATGGGACAACCCTCGAAAAGACACCGTCCTTCCCGGCCTAACTCACCTCTAAGGCCCCAAAATAAAAATAAAACAAAACAAAAAAAACCGCACACTTCCACAGCTCTCCGCCGAAAGCTCAGGCCTGTTACCCAACGCGAGACACCACAAAGCATCCCGAACGCGGACACCGCCCCGCCTCAAGGCTCGCCTCACTCGCAGCTTACTCAGCCGTCACAGCAGAGCTCAACGCCCGCGCTCGCTTTCAAACCGCCCCAACATGGCGCCGGCCTGCGGTGCGCACGCGCGGCAGTGGGGCGCCGGGCGCTAGGGGAGGCGAGGAAGCGGCCAGAGCCGAGAAGAGGATGCTGTGGAGCGTTAGGTCGCGACCCCTGCTGGGAGGTGCTGTTTCTCCCTCCTTTCTGGGGGTGGGAGGGGGCGGATGTGGGCTGCATCCAAGTCGCTGCCCCCCACGCCCTCCCAACCTCCGTCACAGCTAGTCTTGGCCAGTTTGCGCGGGGACTGGCTGATCTCCCTTTGGCCGGCCCCGGGGTCTGCGGGAGGGGACTGGATGGGGAGGGAGACTTAAGGGCGCTGGCGGTCGTCGTTCCGGTTGCTGAGAGTCGGCCCCACAGCTCCAGTTTTTCCAAGTGAGCTCAGCCTCCCCGCTTTCAGAGCATCCCCCGCCAAAAATAAGACATCATCTCAGCTAGTAGGCAGCCTCCCTCACCACTTCTTTCACTCCCTCTTCAGTGCCTTTCCTATCACACCCCGGAGCCTCTCACACACAAAGCAGATGGGAGATTGGAGAGCCGAGTTTAGCCAGGGATGGGATTTAACAAACTCCTAGGGAACCTTGATTCCCAGGGAAGAATAGCAGTGACCCAGCACGGATTGGGTACCCAGTCAGGCAGCCCAGACAGAGGGACATTATACAAACAGATGTAAAGACCCACTAACATGTGTAAACCTGATTGCAAGTCTGGAAAGAATCCAGTTTCAACCAATTGGTGTATACAAAAAAGAGGCCATCCCAATCTTGGTTTATGTTTATTTTCCACTGACCCTATGAGTGAAGATATCCTTGACCATGACTCCATCTGAATATGTTCCAGCTCATCCGATGTTCCATCACCAGGTAATACAACTGTAGTCTTACTGTTTGTGCTTTCTTCTTTTTTACTCTTTGTGGCCTACTAAATTTTACCTTCCCTTTTCTCTTAACAAATGAAAAAGCCCGGAAGCTATAACGTTCAGTTTAGTGGTTAAACACAAGTCTATTGTGGCAGTAATAGTTGGTGATTTGAAAATAAGACATACCCTCCTAGCGGTATGTCCCAATAATCTTCAAAGTGTCTGGATCAGTTAATATCAAGTAGGTTTCTAATAGGAATTCAAGAACGGTGTTTTATGCTAAGACAAGCCCTGTTCAGGGATTAAACAAGGATTGTTAATGACATGAGCTTAAAAAGTTAGATTTTGGTATCCACGTTCCACCTAAATGTCTTTTTAAACTGAGTTTCTTTAAAACGGTTTCTTGGCCGCGGCCAGTGGCTCAGGCCTGTAATCCCAGCACTTTGGGAGGCCGAGGCGGGTGGATCACGAGGTCAGGAGATCGAGACCATCCTGGCTAACACGGTGAAACCCTGTCTCTACTAAAAAATAGAAAATATTAGCCGGGCGTGGTGGCGGGCGCCTATAGTCCCAGCTGCTGGGGAGCCTGAGGCAGGAGAATGGCGTGAAACTGGGAGGCGGGGCTTGCAGTGAACCGAGATGGCGCCACTGCACTCCAGCCTGGGCCACAGAGCGAGACTTCGTCTCAAAAAAAAAAAAAAAAAAGTTTCTTAAAGATTCTAAGTTTTATCTTTTAAAGTTTTTTGTACTAACTTTTTCTTTCATCTTGGGGCGCATATATAGCAAATGTTTCCTAGTGAAGACAAAGTATAGACAAAGGGCATTGAGAAGATATAAAGGAAATTATCAAATATATTACCTAATTCATGGATCTAAATAATTCTACTTCTGCCTTGTTTCCTCGCAGGTTAAGAAATATGGAGATTTCCACAGGGATTTGGAGAGGAGCCCCAGTGGTTACTAAAATTCTGAATTAAATCTGTGAGGAAAGGTAAAGAAATCAGGACTCTGCTAGGAAAAAGGAGGTTATAATAATGGTTTACTAAAACTTTTCAAATATAGAGGCTATCAACTACTTGTTGTGCTTTGCTGGAGAATTAAATAAGAGAAAATAGATTTATGTCCAACCTAAAGAGTTTTAGGTGAGAGCTAAGGAAAAAATGTTCTAATAATTAAACTTTAAGAAGGTTTATTTAAGTGCTTAAGGAGGCAGATTTTTTGAGACTTTTTTAAATGATGGATTTACATGTGTCCATTTTTTAAAGAGAAACTAACCATTTTGATAACCTAGTAAAGGGCTCCACACTGTTTCAAGCATTTTTACATATATTAATTCTCATAATGATTCAGTGAGATAGATATTATTATCCCCATTCTATAGATGTGGAAATTGAAGTTCAAAGATTAAGCAATTTACCCAAAATAATATAGCTGGTGCTAAGTGACAAAGTCAGGATTTGAATCCAGTTCTGCTTTCAACTTACCGGCCAGCTTCCCCTAACTGAAAGCTGGATGATGAACCAAACGACCAGTGAGACTGCAGCTTCCTGAACTCATTCACAGCAGAAATAGTATCTAGTATCTTACTCAATTGTTGTTGCTACACCTACCATGGTGCCTGTCTCAGTCCTTTTGGGCTGCCATAAGAAATTACCAAAGACTGAATGACTTGTAAACAATAAATTTAATTCTCAGCGTTCTGGATCCTGGAAGTCTGAAATCTGAGTGCCAGAGTGGTTAGGTTCTGATGAGGGCCCTCTTCTTGTTGCAGACTGCTACCACTTCTGGCAGTGTCCTCACATGGCAGAAGGGGCCAGTGAGCTCCCTGGGGTTTCTTTTGTGAGGGCACTAATCCCATTCATAAGGGCTTTGCCCTCATGACCTAATCATCTCCTAATATCACCCTGGGAGTTAGGATTTCAACATATGAATTTTAGGGAGACATAAACATTCAGTCCATTGCAGTTTCTAACTTCAAGTAGGGTTTAGTACATTTAAATTCAGTTGATTTAAACTTGATCCTATCTGAGGAGGTGACATTTAAGCAAAGATATCTATGAAAAAGTTATATGAACACATTGCAGAAGAAAGTGACAAGCAGAACAGCAAGTACAAAGAACCTGAAGTCAGAAATTGCTTGATTGTATTTGAGGAACAACCAGGAGATCAAATGATTGGAGCTAAGTGAACAAGAAGAAGCCCGGTAGGAGGTATATTTGAAGAGGAAGCCAGGGGCAAGATCATGTAGTGCCATTGCTACTCACTTTAAAAAGATTAATCCTCAAGAACACATAACCAACAGCTCATGATGCTTCAGAATAGAAAGGACGCATGATTAAACTGTTAGAAATTAAAATTATTTTTTGAATGTCTGTAGTATGCCAGGCACTGGATAGAACCTTAAGCATATCATCTCATTTAATCCTCACACTAATTCTACAAGACAGATATTATCCTGATTTTATACCTTGAGAAAAATGGAAAAACAGAAATACTAAGTAACATGCTTCACAGAATTAATAGGTGGCAGAGACAAGATATGACCCAGGTTTCTGATTCCAAAGTCTAGATTTTTCTACTATACCACAGTTTCTTGTTTGAAAGACTGTAAGCAGAGAGGGGTTCATGCATACATGCATTCATCAAGTAATTGTGTTCATTTCTATGTGATAGGCACTATAGAAATAATATTAAAATGTAAGATAGCACTTCTTAAGTTTTTATATGATTATATTCTTACCAGTTGTTTGTTTTTAAAACTTTGCAGACAGATGGACTACAAGGCAATTGCCCAAAAAACTGTCCAAGAAGTTTTAGGTTATACTCAAGATACATCAGGCTGGAAAGTGGTTAAAATTTCAGTAAGAAAATAAGTTAAAATATGTTTCAAGAGTTTGTTTTTAAGTAAGAAACAATTCATTGTAAAGACTTTTTTAAAAAAAGTATTTTCTGTGCCAGGTGCAGTGGTGTGCACCTATAGTACCAACTACTCAGGAGGCTGAGCCAGGAGGACTGCTTGAGCACAGGAGTTTGAGGCTGTCATGCACTATGATTGTGCCTGTGAATAGCCACTACACTACAGACTGGGCAACATAGTGAGACCCTGTCTCTGAAATATATATATATATATATATTTTTTTCTTTTACCAACCAGAAAAAAAGTTTTTTTACTTTTGTTTTTCATTTTCATTTTTCCTGCATTTGACAGCTAATTATTTGTGGATTTTTATTCCCCTTTGAGAAAAAGATAACTGTTTCCAGTAAGGCTTCTAGAAAATTCCATGGAAACCTGTGAGTACAATCTTCTATTTGCAATTATTGTTTTAAATTCAATGCCATTGATATTATCTGGAATTTCAGTGCTGCTTCATTAGCTATAATAAATTATTTTATAGTAATAAATAGAAATTATTGTCACTAGGCTGAAATGTGATATTAATACAGCAATTAGATACCATCTAATCTTCTATTTTCGAATCTGATGACAATCAGATAAAAAATCTCTTATAATTACTAATTCACTAAAATAGGAAATTTTCACTTCAAGAAATAATTACTATAAGAGCAGATTGGTATTTTCTTGCTAACAGTAATATTTTATGGAATTTTAAACCCTTCATATGTCCATTAAATGAACCATTAACAAGTAAAGTTTATTTCTTCATTTTATTTTATTTTTTTGAGACAGGGTCTGGCTGTCACTAGACTGGAGTGCAGTGGCATAATCTCGGCTCACTGCTATCTCTGTCTCCTGGGCTCAAGCAGTCCTTCCACCTCGGCCTCCTGAATAGCTGGGACTACAGGTGCACACCACCACGCCCAACTAATTTTTATATGTTTCTGTAGAGATAGGGTTGCCCAGGCTGGTCTCGAACTCCTAAGCTCAAGCGATCTGCCTGTCTTGGCTTCCCAAAGTGCTGGGATTACAGGTGTGGGCCACTGTGCCCGGCCTACTTCCTCATTTTAAATATGCATTTTTTTCTGTGTGCTTCTTTTAAATATACTTTTAAGGATCAAATTATTTCAAATACCAGTACCCTAAGGGAAAGTCTGTTGACTTTTTTTAGCTTAATCTTTCAGAGTTCATTTATTGCTTATGATAGTACATCAGGGCCATCAGATCATCATGAATTTTATTCAGTTCCTTTCCTTTTGGTGTCCACTCCTTCTTTCAACTACCTCATTTTATGTTTCTTGGTTTTTTTAAATTTCACTAAAATTTACCTATATTATATTTCAACTCAGTTTTTTACCATTGGACAAAGCTGATATGCTTTCTCCCACTCACTTTAACAATTATCAGGAAAATAATCCCTACCTTATCGAAATAATGATTCCAATAGAGGCACTTTCAAAAATAAACTGAGGGAGGAGTGGGTATGGTCAAGCCTAGGTACACTAGGGGAATTAACTTTTGGATAATATGGCTTTTTGGTATCTTACAGATCAGACCAGTGCAGACAGCAACCTTGGCATTTTTTAAAAGCTTGGAAGTTATTCATTTAGTCTACAAGTAATTATTGAGTATTTATATACAGGGTGCTATACAAATGCCTAGAGCCAAAGAATAGGTTCTGTTAAGCTGTTCTAAAGCTTTATTGGAAATTTTCATCAGAGGTATTTTACTCTTACATGCAAAGCTAAACAGTTGGTACTTTTTGCACTCACAGTCTGAGTGAAATTTATATGCACTGTGTACTAGGTATTTATTGGTGCACAATAAATTATCCCATAACTTAGCTACTTAAACATTTATTATCTTATGGCTTCTCTGGATCAGGAATCCAGGAACAGCTTTGCTAGGTGCCTCTGCCTCAAGGAATCCACAAGGCTGTAATCAAGGTGTCAACTGGGCTTAGGTCTCATCTGAAGACTTGATTGAAGGAGGCTATGCTCCAAACTCACTCACATTGTTGTTGGCAAGATTCAGTCCCTCACGGGCTTGTTGGACTAAGGTCGTCAGTTCCTTGATGGCTCTTGGCTGGAAACTTCCTTAGTTCCTTGCCATATAGCCTCTCCATAGGGCTATTCAAAACATAGCAGTTTACTTCCCTCACAATGAGGGGGCTAGGAGACAGCAAGAAAGAGCAAATAAGGCAGAAGCCAATGTCTTTCTGCAGCCTAATTGCATAAGTGACATCCATCACTTTTGCAATATTCCTTGTATTACAAGTGAATCACTAGATCCAGCCCTGACACAAAGGGAGGAGATTACACAGAATGTCAGTACCAGGAGGTGGGGTTTATTGGGGATCACTTTAGAGGCTGCCTACTGCACAATGGTTTTGGAAAACTGTCTTTTCATTCTGTTTTATAGTTGAGCTATAGTCTATTAAGTATCAAACAGCTTTAAATTTAACATTGATTTTAAAAGTACATGAAGCTCCATTTTACATGCATATTTTCTCCAGCATGACTCACTGCCTAGCCTAATTTTGTACATTTTTATGTACGTAAGGAGAGTATAATGAAAGTAGTTTATATTTGTCAATATGTATTTTTTTCAAAATCAGCTATGGCAAGTATTTAGGTTCTTGTAAAATAAATCAAGCAGAATATGTTAGCTCATTTGAAGTTTACCTTCCCCAACCAGAAGTGAAAAGAAAGTGAGATTTTTATCAAATAGGGAGGAAAGATAGGGAACCTTAAAATTTTTTGGTGCTTCAAACAAAGCTTCATGGCTTTATTTTAAAAGTCGGGAATAAAAAGGAAACAAGAAATATGTGCATATGAATTTAGAATGGGCAACTAAATATAAACACTATACACTTTGGAGATATATGGTAGGTCCAGTGCAGTCTGCCAAACTAGCATCTGAGAGAAATGTAATACCTTAAAATGCCTTTTGGAAAAAAAGTGGGTTGCGCTGTCAAATAAGTTTCTAAAACACTTCATACTATATTATCTTTTTATTTTTCTATTTTCTTTTTTTGAAATAAGGTCTTGCTTTGTCACCCAAGCTGGAGTACAGTGGTGCCATCGTAGCTCACTGCAGCCTCTATCTCTCACCTCAGCCTCCCAAGTAGCTGGGACTACAGGTGTGCACCACCACACCTGGATAATTATTATTATTATTTTTAGTAGAGATAAAGTCTCACTGTATTGCCTAAGCTGACCTTCAGCTCCTGAGCTCAAGCACTCCTCCCATTCCATCCTCCCAAAGTGCTGGGATTACAGGTGTAGGCCACCATGCCAGGAAAGATTCACTCTAAGGTTCAGAGAAGTCCTGAAGTAAAAAATTTGTTTAACTTCAATTCAAATTTTTCCAATTTTTCCAATTTTTTTTTTTAACCAAGAAGGTGCTTATAAAACGTTGGCCAACAGAAAGGATGATTGACCTCAGATTTGGATTCTGATAGAGGCTTTAAGTGACCAAATATGTACAGAGAAAAGGAGGTTAATTTTCGTTATTATTCTGTTGCCATCCTAGTGCAAGCTGCCATCATCTCTCAATGGATTATTTTAGTAACCTCCTAATCTCCTTGTGTCTACTCTTATTCAACTACATCCCACTCTTCACACAATGGCCAAAGTATATTTTAAAAATTATCATTCAGATTGTGTCACTTTGCTGGCTAAAATCTTCTAAAGGTATCCCCTTGTATCTAAAAGTCCAGAAGAATTCTGCAAACTGAGACTTTGGGATAAGATGGTGGATAGGAGGCAGGGCTAATATGCAGCTCCCACTTGGACATACAGAACAGCCTGTGGGGTCTCACGCCATGAACTTGTGCTCCAAGAACTACTGCAGGAACATACCAAGAAAACCAAAGGAATACACAGACCTTTGAAAGAAGCAGCACGCCGCTGCAAATTCCATGAGACAGGTGAAAAACTGTGAGTTCCCAAAGTGTGGGAGGGGGAAAACCTGCCTCCAAACACACATCCCCACTGGGGAATCTGAAAATCCAGATCATGGGAGAGGGATATAACCATACCTAGAGATGAAATGTATTTAAGAAGCTGAATGAAATATAAAAGCAAAAGCAGTGGCAGGAAGTGCTTTGCAGGCACTCTCAGTGTCCAGCTTGAGCCCAGGGAAGCCATCCATGACTATATGTCACAGGGGCCCTCAGAGAAGGCAGCCAGTGGAATTAGGGAGGGGTCACAGGGTGAAAGAAACTCCCAACTGAAATTAGTAATAATTTTGATGAGGCAAAAATTTTCTTGAGCAGAATCAGTGGGGTTGGGGCCGCCCAGAGTGCTGCAAATGGGAACTGCTACAGATACAAGTGTGGGAGTCACCACCAACGGAGTGGGCAGGCAGGGAGGGGCAAGTTCCAAAAACCTTGCTTACCTTCTTAGCAGGGAAGCTCATGACCTGGGGCAAAGTCCGAGTAGGGCACTATGGGAGCAAGACCGGCCTCACCAACTGCGTGGGAGCTGGGTGAGACCCTTCCTACCTGCTATCACTTATTTCTCTGCCAAACTATATGACACAGCAGAAGGCAGCCACAGTTGCCTCTATAACATAACCCCATTGGCTGAGGACCACCCCCCTATTCCCCACAGTGGCCACAGCAAGCCCTTCCCAAGGAGAGTCTGAAGCCAGATCTGCCTAATCCTGACCCCACCTTATGGTATTCCTCCCCCCTGGTAATCGAACACAAAAGACAGAAACTCTTGAGAGCTTTATGGCCCTGCCCATTGCCTGAGAAACCAAAATACATACCCTGGCCAACTTAGGGCAAGCTTAGATCCACCTACTACTGGTGCTCTCTTGAAAGCAACACCTCCTGGCTGGGGGCCAACTAAGGCCATTACAGCAACTCATGACAGTATAACCCTTATCCTAGGGGAAGACAAGAGCTACTTCCAGGATGTTCCTGGAACATCCTGTCTAACCAGAGGTCCTGAGTGCATCCACATGACAACTTCACTGCACCATAACCAACATTTGAGAAAGCCAGCACCCGAAACATATCTACAACCAAGGACTCTCACAAAGTCTACTTTACTTCCCTGCCACTTCCACCAGAGAAGATGTGGTATCTATGGCTGGCAGACCTGAAGACTGATCACATTACAGGCCTCTTAACAGACATTCCCCAGCCACAGCCCAGAGCCTTGTAGCCCTGCTGGGTGGCTAGACCAAGAAAAGCAATAACAATCACTGCAATCTGGCTCTCAGGAAGCCCCATCCCTAGGGTAAGGGGGAGATCACCATATCAAGGGATCACCTCTTGGGACTAGACAATCTGAACAACAGGCTTTTAAGTTCCAGAGCATTCCACTGAAATAGTAGACCCAAATAAGAAGAAACAAAAGAAGTAATTCTGGTAATCTGACAA